TTAAAACATTTTCGTCTTTATTCTTTAATTGCCTTAATTATTTGTGTGGTGAAATGTTGTGTAATAAGTGGTTTGACTGCACCGTTTTCCCCTAAATGTCCGTCTAGTTTGAATTTGCCGCTTGCTCACAACTGCTGTCTTCACGGAAGCTTTGTGTTCAAATATTTCAACTCAAATCAATATTTCGCATCTAATTATTTACTTATGTGGCAAGTAGCCATGTAATAAGCGGGATAATGTACATCCAGCCGGTTGGTATCTCAGAATAAACAAGACCCCTCTGCTTCGCGTCGGGGTCCTGATCATCCTGTCGGGGTTTATTCAGAGATAACAACCGGCTGGATATACATTATCCCTTACGTAATACCCTGGTCCTGAATAGGGATATGCTCAACTACAAATTTACAAAATCCTGTATAATTAGGGTCTACCTAGTCTCACATATCCTGTCCTTAAGAATGATGATACAAGGTCTCAACTCCACATCAGCTTTAGGCAATAGGCCATCTGATTATCATGTAAAGCTTTCGATAACCATTCATTTCGCTCCGCGTCCTGTTTAGGGGTGTGCAAATGTAAATACAATGTCCCTACAATAACAGACCAGCATGCAGGCAATAAATCATTCATTCAAGGACGTCATGTTCAGAGTCTATGCACTGAACTTCACATACTTTTGAAAATCTGCCATTAAGATGATCCTGAGCGCTCACAACTACCTAAATGTCTATAGCCTGCCGAAAATATCAGAATAATTTTCTTTAAAAATATTTGTCAGGACTTTGAATTTATTAGAAAACTGATGCGTTGAAGGTTATAGAGCAGGTTTTTGTGTTCTGACAGTTACTAGACAGCTCTAGATAAACCAGTCGATCTTACTAATCGATTAGATGATTTTGCAGGGACTTGTTAACCATCTTTCCCATCCCTAGTGCTAAATGATTACCATATAGTAATCATGATATTTGCAAAGAATATCAGGGTATTACCATGTGCAAAAACCTCGTTGCACTACCATTTAAAACTTTGAGATCTGTAAGATTTTTTTGTACTTTTATTGAGCAATAATGCATTAAAAATACATTTATAATGTTACAACAGATTTCTCTTTCAAATAGGTATTTTGAACTTATTAAGCAGCACAACTGTTTTCAACACTGCTAATAAGAAATGTTTCTTAAGCAGCAAATCGGCATATTTGAATGATTTATGAAGGATCATGTAACACTGAAGACTGGAGTACATTTCAGCTTGTCATCAGTGCCCATTTTCCAGACACTGTGTGCCATGTTGAAACCAGAGGTTGTGTTAGACTTTAACATTCGTAAATGTAGTAAACATTCCATCATAATCTATTATTACCCGTCATTTTAATTTTCATATTTTAATTATAATAACACATTTAATTGCTTTTTAATTTTGTTCATATTTTCATTTTTAATAATGAACCTACAGGACGAGCATATAGGCTTATGCATTTATTTATTTGTGAAGAGAACAGATGAACAGAGACTGCTTCACTTGTGTTCAACACCACACCCTGCAGTGATAGCAGAGGCCACTAAAAACAACAAAATATGCTAGGGCTGGAAAAAAAAAGATTTCTCTATTTTAATATATTCTAATTTTTATGAACCAATATCGATTCTTAAATCCCAATCGATGCTGTTTTCAGTTGATGAATGAGCAGTACACATAGTGCACCTCCAATCCAATAAATCGCAATAGGCTAAGTTTTGTGCATTGTTAATTTCGATATGAAACAAAGTTTCAGATTTCAAATTCTGTCCATTATATTAGGAAACTCAAGCAATAAATACCGTTTTGGCTCTCTTTAATGTGGCGTGAGAGACCGATGTAGGCCTCGGATCAAGCGAAGCGGCAGCGCAAAGTGCAAATAAACTGATCATCTTTTTCGCTTTACTGCTATTGGGTACCCGCCTGTGCGTAATCAAACGCATAGCAAAAGACTGATGACAGTTTTATTTTTGTTTTGGAGGCTGATGATCCCGCACTCTGCTGCCTCACTGGAGAGCACTCGCCAACAACTGGACAGGGGTGGGAATTACAGTTACAAGTTACAACAGATCACCCTCAGTGTAATCTGTCAAAGTGACGGACGGCCTTCAGAATTTTCCGTCACTGCTAAAAAAAATGACAAAAAATGTTCGGTTAACGTGACCTCTATTTGAGACCGAGCACATTTTGTGCATTTTTTTTTTCCTCACCAAATACCACCCTCCTGCCCAACAAACACACACACACACACACACACACACACACACACATATTCTTGCACCCATCTCCAACCAACACCCCCCACATGCACACACACACACACGCAACTCAACAACCTTGTTTTTCATGTTTGGGGCTCCAGGCCAAATCCCCAGTGTTCAGCAGTACGTTTCAGAGAGCAGATAACATAAAACTCAAAGAAGGTTCTAGAAACCAGACCCAGCAGAAAGAGGGGGAGCAAGAAAGTGGGAAGATGTAGCATGGGGACTGGCCCTTTCATGTCTGTGAGCTGTCACTATGCTCTGTAGGAGAAAGATAGAGCGGCAAAACAGTAGAAAACCACAACAAAGATACAGTTCACAGTGGATGGAGTCAAGAGCTTGGATGTGTGATGTCGTATTTGTGTTCTTGCAGCTCTTTATAACACTACACAACTGTTTTATGGCTATAAATGGTGTAAATTCTTAAGCAGTGTGTGTTCTTGTGCCTTTGAATTATTTTATTAACATACAGTGAAAGTCGTCCTTTGTGCCCTGGATGTGCATGTGTGTTTATACTTGCCAGGAAAAGCTGTGTTTGAAACGCAAAAGCTTGTGTATTGTGTCTGTGCATGTCTTTGTAGTTAAACTTCTGTCTTGGCTCAGAAAATGACTCTTATGGATGTTATAGATGAGCAGACATTGGCACTCACCCGAGTAGCTGTGCTGTTGCTGGGTTAGTGCATCCAACTCTCTCTCTTTCTCTGTCTTCAGCTGGTTTACATGGATTATTGGGGCTGTGACATTCTACATAGTGCCACATCTGTATTAAAAAAATACCAAAGGAAGTGAAGTTCAATATCAAATTGATATAGATTTTGTATATATAATTGTACTTGACAGGAGAGTACACAGGACCGGAAATTAACCTTTGCAGGAAAATAATTTTTGCAGGAAATTAGCTTTGTATATACGGTATGCCCTACATATATACGGTATGCACTATATCATAGACACATGAAAATAATTGTTTTTTTCTGATATGTATATATTATTTTACTATTATAATTTATTTCTATTTATATATATTAGTGCTGTCAAATGATTAATCGTGATTAATCACATCCAAAATAAAAGTTTTTGTTTACATAATATATGTGTGTGTACTATGCATATTTATTATGTATATATAAATACACATACATACAGTATATATTTTTAAAATATATAAATAAATTTATTCTATAAACATAACGCATTTTTCTAAATATATACATGCATGTGTGTATTTATATATACATAATACATATTCACAGTACATACACATTTAAGTGGGAGAACTTGCACAATTGGTGGCTGACTAAATACTTTTTTTCCCCACTGTATATATAACAATTCATCATAAGCAGCCAATGAGGACAACTTCAGTTCTGATACCATCAAGACCCAAGAAGTGCTCCTTTCACAAGGAGATGAATAGGATGAAGATGAAGAGTGAAAGAGAAGAAAAAGGAAAGGGTGCTGGGAATTCCTGCTGTAATATGATCAGGTTGATGGAGGTCGATGATAATGGCTGGAGACAGGTTGGGTTCATCCTTGCCTTTAAGGCCCACAGCACAGCGATTAACAGTCAAACACATACATGCTCAGCCGGATAATCTGAGAGCTGCTGCTGAATGATAAATACAGGCTGGGCTCCGGCTGAGTGAGCGGCAGGGTCAGACGCAACAGCAACGTTTAGATATTGTATTAAAACTTGCCCTATGAGACTGTACTAATTCCAAAGAGCCCGACCTTCAGGCGATTACGAGAACGGTCATCGACTTCATTCACACAGCAGCAGCAGTCAGCCGGCCCGGATGGGAGAACTAAAATGAGTAATGAGTATGAAAGGAAATGACAAACGCATTATAGTATTCTTATATTCTGCACGTCTTCAGACGTTACAAATGGAGTTTGGGAGTGAGTTCAGTTGATGTGTGCTGTATGAACAGAATGGCAACTGACAGTGTCATGTCATTGATATACGTATGGAATAGGTATGTGCTTCCTGGGTTATTCTTTTGCTGTCAGTCACTGATGTATAAGGCCTGTCAGCCTCTCTTAGGTTATCAAAACCAGTCATAAGTAGCACAGGGATATTTGTAGCAATAGCCAATATTACTGTATGGGTCAAAATTATAGATTTTTTCTATGCCAAAAATCATTAGGATATTAAGTAAAGATCATGTTCCATGAATATATTTTGTAAATTTCCTACCGTAAATATATCAAAACTTAATTTTTGATTAGTAATATGCATTGCTAAATACTTCATTTGGACAACTTTAATTTTTTTTTTTTGCACCTTCTGATTATAAATTGTCAAATGTCTCAGCCAAATATTGTCCTATCCTATCCAAACCATACATCAATGGAAAGCTTATTTATTCAGCTTTCAGATGGTGTTTAAATCTCAATTTAAAAGAATTGACCCTTATGGTTTTGTGATCCAGGGTCACATATATTGTATATATATATATATATATATATATTTGGTTTTCAGTCCCAAACACTAACTGTGTATATGTAGCCAATGTGGTGTGTGGGATAAAGAAGAACATGGCTGTCTTTCATTGTTTTTTAACAATGTTTTATGATGATATTTTTGGTGTGACTCAAGTGAATCACCTGTTAAACTGCAAATAGCTTTTGTGTAACAAGAGAGGTTATGTGAAAGAGGATTGACCACGTCTCTCTCGTTCTCTCCTTCCTCCCCTCTAATTCCTTCATAACCCTCTATAGCGGCAGATGGTGAGGATCCGACTTCAGCAGGTGGGATATATCTAGATATGGTAATTGTTGTGCTCCCCTCATTTGGCTCCTGTATCTCTCTTTATTGCACTTCCTTCTACTGTTGTCAGTTTTGGCATGTGTGACCTTCCCTGCATGAAATTCACACGTCTGTTTCAGAGCTCTTCCCTTACCTTTTTCTTCACACCTTCTCAAGATCTCCTCTGATGTCACATCGTTCTTGCTGTGTTATTCTGTCTTCTCACCATGACATTGATGCATAGAGCATCTCAAAACCTGCTGCAGAACCTCCCTGCTTATCACGCAGTCTCTTTTCAAATGCTGCTATTCTGATCGCTGGCTTGCAATCGAATTTGGTTGCCTCCACTGTTGATGTATTTTCTCACTTTTTATCCATTTTGAAAGTTTTGCACATTTGCCACTGTGCATACACATTTGCGCACACACATATATTCCAATAATATAAGGCGTTTGTTTTTCTCCACCTCCTCTCGATCTCCTTGGCTCCTCAGTATCACACCCATTGATCCCTCTCAGCGTGCATGGTCAGCACTCACTCTCAAGCCCACTGATCTCTGTGAGCGGAGCTGCTTTGAAGAGCGCTCAGACTCTTCTCTCCTGCCTCGTTGTTTTATCGGGTTCCAAGCTTTCAGTAAAACGCTCTAGCCCTTCTGTCTTCACGTTCACGGGTGTTCCTCTCATATTGTGAACAAGATGCACATCTGTTGCTGTCTGTCACCATAAACCATTTCAAATGGACTTTTGTGTAAATTTAGATTTTTATGAGGTAGACATTAATCATGATTTAGATCCTCTTTTATAGCTGTTAAGGTGCGAACACATTTTTCATTATTCAGCAAATTCTGCAGATAAAATCTAATCATCAGTAGGAATCTACACAGTCGGGAATTTCACATAAGATTTTCCAAAGCAGATTTTCCATCAAATTCATGTTGGTCGCGTGAATTTGCCTTGCTGACCAACATAAAGCTGTTTGGTTTGAAAGGGACTTTAGATTTTATTTTCATCTGACAACAATGGTATATACCAAGTTCTGTTTATTTAAAGAGTTATAGCTCTCAAAAATGAAAATTATTATGACAATTTTTTAATGCTGTTCAAAACCTGTATGACTATTTCTTCTGTGGAACATTAGATATCTTGCAAAAACTGAGTGTCTATACAATTCCTTATTCCATTCACATTTCTATGAGAAGACCTTCTCCTCTACCTCAAACAGACTCTGTGGTTACTTAAATGCTTTTTCTCTAATAACAACATATACCATATAGAACCATATATAACCATACACACACACACACATACATTTGTTTTTGAGAATTGTGGGGACTTTCCATAGACTTCTATTACTTGTATATTGACCAAATGTGACCCTGGACCACAAAACCAGTCTTGAATCGCTGGGGTATATTTGTAGCAATAGCCAAAAATACATTGTATGGGTCAAAATTATAGATTTTTCTTTTATGCCAAAAATCATTTAGATATTAAGTAATATCCATCATGAAGTAATGTTACATGGATATAGTTAGTCAATTTCCTACTGTAAATATATTAAAACTTAATTTTTAATTAAGGAATTTAAAAAATTAAAAAAAATTCAGGATTTACTATCCTTGTGGGGACATTTGGTCCCCACAATGTAGGATAAACAAGTACACACACACACACACACACACTGGGAAATACTGTTATAAATAAATAAAAGGAAAATGTGCACCCAAAGAAAGATGTCTTCACTGAAAAAAAGGCTTTTGTAATAATGTTGTCAATCTAACTTTCTTAAATATGTTTTGACAGGTTCGAAGAGTGTGCATGCATCTTCATTTGAGTCTCTGCAAGTGGACCACAATCAGAAAATAAATCCACAGAGTGGATGAACTTTAGATTGTTGTTTGGTATAGTTTTGATGGGTTTCAGCTCTAAAGCTCACATATAATCTGGCATTTTTTTTAATTATATTATTTTCCAAAATCCACAAGGGTTAGAGCAATGACCTCAGTGGGTTCTTTTGGCCTGGAGCATTTGCAGCATTGATTTGAGATTTTAAACCTGGAATTATGACCTATTGAAGCCTAAATTATATATTGTATGGTGTTAGTACATGAAGAAATGTTCCTTCATGAGTGTGTGTGCATCATTGGATTCATTGGTATACAGTATGTGCGGTGTGACGCTTGAATCAGTAGCTCCTGCAGTATACTGTTCAGTCAAGACCCCCAGACTGTCAGCTTAATAGCATGGCACATGTTTGATATAATTATATAGATTAAATGAGATCAAAAGCACTATTATATAGGTAATCATCCCACCCCCCACCCCCAAATGCATTCATTCCTATTACAGCACCCTTATCAAAAGTTTGAGCCAAGTTTGAGAGCAAGAGGTAAATGGGAAGCAGATTTATTTTGGTAGTTTGTGATTGTCCCCTCATGTCTTTTTACTGTTTAAACTCTAAGTTGCCATTGAGGCAGAGATCACAGACAATACTGGCTCCTTTTTGTGCTTCAAGGGGAGCAAAAATGAAGCCGCATAAGCTCTTCAGACTTTATGTCCCACTGTACTTTCATACTCAAGCAAAATGCAAGAGCTATAATTGGTCAAATGAAAAATGACACTCAGTATTTTCAGAAGTTAAAACATAATCTGAATTGCATCTCCTCCTAATTTTACATTATTGGATCAGAACCTTTCTCTTTTATTTCTTAACAGCGTCACTGTGCTTTTCTCTATTCTTTGTTCAATTATGGATTTGATATGTACATTTTAAATGCAGCTGGAGAACATTCATTGTAGCCCATTGGGCCCTTATTAGTGTAGTTGCTATGGATGAGTGTGTAGCATGAATAATACACTTTCTTCTTCCTCCTGGGGAGTTTGAGTGACGGAGTGGGTAACTGTAGCGAACATTAGTATGCCATTATATAACTAAAGGTGGGACTGAGTTCACCGGCCAATATTATGACCCCTCCATCAGACACTGACATGCTAAAAGCCCTCTTTTTTAAATGCCCTGCCTTTGGCCCAAGCACCATTTTTGTAATCCGAGAAACATTATTTCAGTTATTTCTCTGCATTGCGTTTCAACTTTGAAATGGAAAGAGGTGGCTTCTGTTCTCATGCGGGTCCTGCTATACCTGGTAATTGTTAGCATCAAACGGCTGGCAATCATTTGAAGGCTTTACTTTAAACATGGTCTTTGGAAAGGCTCAGCATGTACAAGCTCATAATAAAGACAAGCAGATTACCAGCACAGCGTTTGCCATATGTTCTAAAAGAAAAAGACTGGAGAACATTTGACAGACGCGTTAATCTGTATTATAAAACATGCATAAACATTTCTACCTAAAAATAAACACATTAGCTGACTCTTGAAAACTCTTTTATTTTGAATAAAAAGCATACACAGCAGGTAACTAATGGGGAAGGAATGACTTACATTTACATTTCATCTTAAAATGAGCTTTATTTGTGCTTGTGAGAACACAGACTAATTTTTTTCAACTTCTCAGTGTAATGAACATAATGAACATAGCTTAATCTTATCTGTCTTATCTTATCTTCAAAAAAATGTATATACAATCAAATAAATCAATATATACTAAATAGCAAATCTCAACTGCATGATTGCTTGTATTGTTGCAAAATGTAAACTGTATTATTGCCAAACTCTAATCTGCTAAATGAGATTAGAAGGCATAAAGATATTAAGATATTATAAACATTATCATCATTGTTTTCTGCAAAGCTGCTTTGAAACAGTGTATTGTGAAATATCTATACAAATAATCTTGACTCGACTTATCTGACTTGTTTATTCATGAGTTGCGATATTCCTTCAGAAATGCAATTACGTCTTGCTAAAGGATTACAAAATAAGCACCCAAATCGGTTGGTCTATCCAAAGTAAACTGTTGCAGGAGTTTTCATTTGGCCATGTTTGTTCTTATCAGCCCTGCATTCTTGGATGGATGTGAGTTGACAGGAGAGAATCTCTAGGCTGTTCTTCTCCTGCCAGACTGCTATCATGGTGACATTTCCATGGCATTTCCTGCCTTCCTTTTACACCCTCACCTTCCATATCTGAAAGACTTTCCAAGGTGAGCTTGAAGTTACTTCGGCTGCCCTAAGGGATTTCGCTCCCTTGGCGGAGAGCTGGATGGCAACAGGTTTATTTATTTTGCCTCTGTTCTGTTTTTACATTAACTGGTTGTTGCATCTGTTCAGTTTAGTCAGCATGTCTTGTCATATAGCGTGCATGGCGGGATTTAGAGACATGGCAGACAGCTCTAAAAGCCAGTGCTTTTCACTGCCAGCCGCAGTTCTTAGTGGGAGAGGCGAGTGTACTGGGCAGGAGGCAGTGAACTGGTAGGAGGCTGATACTGCACTCCCCGTAAAGAATGAAGACATAATTAGGCCACGTACAAGTTGTGTAAGCTCTTACCCTGCAAACTCTGCGAGCTGAACATCTCTTTTAATGTGCCTGCATAGCATTAATGCGAATGTGTGTTTTTTCTGTGGTAGAATGAGTCTCGATTAAGGACAACAGTGCTCTAAATTACAGCATATTGACACTGCTTCCCACTGAGGGCAGGTGAAATGTGTTCATTCAACTTTTTGATGTTTAAAGACACATGCAACTTAGTGTCTTGTTACCCAAAGTATCAGTACATGTTCCTTTTTTTATTATTGGAGCATAATGGGATTTGTCTGTCTGTCTGTCATCTGTCTGCCTGCCGTTCTTTGTTCTGTTGTTCTGTGCTTCTAATGTTTTATCATTCTATATATCTAGCATTCTCTTTGTAGCCATTAAACTTTATTTTTTTCCCCTTGTTGTCCAAACAAGGCTTTGTAAAGCCACTTGATTGTTGCTTGTTTGATTGAAAAGTTACATTCATATGAATGTATTTGAATTTCAATTAATTTAATTTAGACTTTATTGCATTTAAATCCAAATAGCATATCGGCATCCTAATTTCTAAATGTAAATTCACGTTTTA